GCTGTTGTTCCACTGCCCAGCTGTGACGGACAGGTTAGGGCAGGGCTGAACGTTACACTACTCTTGTGATTTATTAGATTTTTATACTTACAGTTGGTAAGAACGTTTTGTAATGAGCTCTAAAGGTCTGAAGAAGCAGGTAAAAGAGCCTGTAATAAACAATGACACAATTATGTTCCATTTTGTTGTCAACATGGTGCCCTTCGTGTTTTAGATCAGTGGCCATATCCCTTCCCAAAAGCAATTTCAAAAGAAGAAGTTGTGTTAGTCGGTTTCAGCACTCATATAAACTCTGAAAACATACAACTGGGAGAGAGTTGTAACCCTTTAAAGACTAGTAGTTTTATTTTGGTATGGCCTCCAATGGATCAAAATCTGTTTCCATCTCAGTATTTTGTAGCATTCCCAAAAGCAGAAATGTCAGAAGCCGGAATGCCCCGTTTGCTGTCTATGCCAGGATCTAGACGGTGACTGTTTCCCCGCCTTACAGCAAAAAGAGGCTGTTCAGCATTCCACTCCTTCCTGCTTGCGTACTGTTTGAGATCAGAGACTTTGTGTGTGTGTGTATATATATACATATATATACATACACACACACACACACACGTATATATATGCAAAAATGTCTCCGTATAACTTTCTGTGATCCGTGATTGTTTTCCTTTTGATAGAAACACACACGAGTGAGCGCGGCACAAATAGCGCTGTCGAATTTTGGGGATTGGACAGGTCTCAGTTCGTGCCAGCTCCAAAGGTCTTTGCTTTGAAAGGCGCGTTTCCAGTCCGGACGGAGCTCGTACTGTATAAGAAGAACACGCCTATCGAAAGCACTCGTCCAGAAGGGTGACAGCAATCCCGCTCCTTCGCAAAACCGCGAGGCAGTTCAGGAGGAGGCGCGCATCCAGACCCCCCGCGTGTGTCCGCGTCTCTCTCTGTGTGTGTGGCGTGGAGGAGATCCGTCGAGTCAAGACGCGCGCAGTTGGCCCTGTCCCTTTCCTGCTCGCGGGACAATGGGGGAAGCGGGGAGGGCCCAAGAGAGAGCAAACATCCTGGCTTCTCTCGGCCCGACAGCCACCCTGCGCCCAGCCCACGTGGCACCTGAGGGCCAGCCCAGGCCCGGGAGGCGGCAGGGGGGCCACGCGGGACTCGGCCGGGAGGCTCAGCCGGGGCGGCGTGGCAGCGG